AGGTTTTCCAGGATATTGGGAAGACTGTTTATGTTGTGGATTAGGACTTCTAGTGTTGTTCCTAGCTTTTCTGTAATGAAGTTTTTAGTCCTTGGTTTTAGTCCTAGGTCCATGATCCACCTTGAGTTGGTTTTTGTGTATGGAGTGAGGTGTGGGTCTTGCTTGAGTCTTTTGTGTATGGAGTGAGGTGTGGGTCTTGCTTGAGTCTTTTGCAGATATTTTTCCAATTTTGCCAATACCATTTGTTAAAAAGGTTGTCGTTTCCCCACTTTCTTAATTTCTTAATTCCTTTAAGTAGAATCACGTAATATTTGCCATTTTGTGTGTGACACAATTCACATAGTCTAATGTTTTCAAGGCTCAACTCAATGATATCATGTAGCAGAACTTCTTGTCTTTTCATGCCTACAGTCCACTGTATCTATGCACAACATTTGTTTATCCATGTACATCAGTTATTTCCATCCTCAGGAAATTGGTGTTTTATTTTTGGTTTTTTGGCAGATGGCGGAATAAGTTAATTCTTATATACAGAAAAATCAGTATATACATCGGCCCAGTTTGGTGGTGAGTTCTTTGGCCTTGGCCTTCTCCAGCTTGGCGATGCAGGCCATTGACTTGTGCCCTAGGACGTTGCCTCCCCAGTGGCAGTAGTTCTCATCATATCTGTCATTTTAGTTGATCCTGATTGCTTCTACCACCTCCGCCAGAGCTCCTTTACTTCGGGGTTCACCCGTGTGAAGGCAACAGTGGTGCAGGTCTTCCGGTGGACGAGGTGGCCCAGCCTGGCCTTGCCCTTGATGATGCAGTAGGGAATGCCCATCTTCCGACACAAAGCCGGCCGGAAGACCACCAGCTCTATGGGGTCCACATCGTGTGCGATCACCACCAGTTGGGCCCTCTTGTTCTCCACTCTGGTGATTGTATTCACCCCAGCACGTAAGATGGGGAGTCTCTTGGTGGGGGTGTCTCCTTTGCCAGCAGCCTTCTCAGCCTGGGTCTGCAGCCTCTGCTTCTTCTCCTTCTTGGTCTCTGGTCAGTACTTGTGGGCCAGCTTCAGCAGCTGAGTAGCTGTCTGGCGGTCCAAGGCCTGGGTAAACTGGTTAATGGTGGATGGTACCTTGAGTCATTTGTAGAGGATTGGTCTCTGCCGCTGCAGTCAGATGTAGTGGGGCCATTTGACAAAGTGAGTAAGGTCCATTTTGGGTTGGATGTCCTGCCCAATGCCAAAGTTTTTGGGTCTTTATTCAAACAGGGGATTAACCACCTTCTTGATCTCCTGCTTCTTGACCACGGCAGGCGCCGGGGCCACCTTCTTCCCATTGGCTTTCTTTCCCTTTGGTATCTTGGGCAGATGGTCATCCTCAGGAAATTGTGAATAATGCATCAACAATGGCCTACAAGTCTTTGTTTACATCCTTGTTTTGAAGTCTTTCGGGTGTACACTCAGGATCGGAATTGCTGAAGCATGTGGTAATTTTGAGTTTAACTTTCTGAGGAAATCTCAAATTATTTTTCAATGGGTACATCTCTACCATTATACATCCCCACCAGTGGCACAGGAGGATTTCAACTTCTCCACGTCTTTCCTCACCATCATGTGTCTTCCATGTTCCTGATAATACACATCATCCTGCTCATTGCTGTCCAGTTGAAACTGACTCATAACTGCCCTTCCAGTGGGTTTCTGAGGCTGTAAGTCCCAGGAATAAATGAACTTGAACTACCAGAGAGGCTTGGCCTTTGGATTAGTGGTACAGCTCTCTACACACCACACCACAAGAGCTCCTAGTGAGTGGGAAATGGTATCAGAAACAGAAGGTTCCACTTCACCGAAGACGACATTCAGATGGCTAACAAGCACATGAAGAAATGCTCAAAATCCCTAGCCCTAAGAGAGATGCAAATTAAAACAACTATGA